CAACACAGGCACACTGAAACTGCTTCTTGATTAGCTGAGTGATGGGGAATAGTTCCTAACAGAAGCAAGCAGGCAATTAGTGGCTGGTAATCAGTGGGAATGGCAGCCCCATGCTGTGTCAGACTGTCATTCTACAGCATATAAGCTGTATTGCAGGCTTGTAGGGACACTGCAACAGTTTGAGGTTTCCTGACACACTGACAGGCAAGGACACAAGCTAAGAGAGCTCAGAGAGAAAAACAGATGCATTTTGTTTAAAGCCAGAACCCTTCAAATCCTTGCAGACCTCCTTGCACTCTCACCATTCAATTTGTAATTGAAGGGGGTTGTGATCCAAAGACCACATACTTCGGCCTTGCAGGCCCATCAGTGGACCATGGCCTATCTTGAAAACCCTGCACTAGAGTCCCTCTTATAAAAGATGCCCCAGTTGAGAAAAATGGAGAATGGAGAATTCATCACAATCCTGAGATAATCTGCTCCACTGTTTAAATCACCCTCATTCATAAATACTTACACCTTGTTGCAATGATGAATTTGCCTAACTTCAGCTGCCAACCTCCAGTGCCCTTTTAGGCAGGAGTAGTGTACACCAGGCTTAGAGGAGGATGAAACTCCCTGGACCTCAAGAGCAGCAGCATAAGAGAAGTGTTTTGACAACTAGTGAAGGGAAATAAGGTTGTTCACATAGAGACAGGGAAGGGGAGACCTCTCCAGAATCAAATGCAAGCTGTGGTTTTTGATGCAGCCACCACCCCGGCAGGTGTATAGAGGAGAGAAGGGGGTCTCTGGGTGGTGCTGTTTTACCTAAGCTTGCTCCCTCTGGACACTTACCATTGAAGCCAACAGTCAGCAAGCGGCCTGCAGGAGACAGGCTCAGTGAAGTGGCAAAGTGTGATAAGGGGATCTTCTCAACGACCTGCATTCAAGCAAGAGAAACACTGATACCAGCCTCTTCAAAATTAACATGCAGCAGAACAGGCTAACGGGCCCCTCTCAAGAGGATAGCTAACAAACTGTCACCGGCACTGACAGATGCACAGCATTCACTGAGCTCAGGAAGCTGCCAAGCTCTTCATATTTCCAGAAGAGTATTCAGAGCTGAGAGAACGTTAGCATTCATGAAGGCAAAAAGAAACAAACCAGCAGTGACAGCAACCAGGTGTGGATGCAGCTCAGTCCCGAGCTACAGCTCCCCCTGCTGTTCACTACTGGCCTGGAACACAAAAGCTAGCACATTAAGTAGTTGTCTAGCCAATTCTAGTACCCCTCAACTCCCCCTCTGTTTCATTCCACCTCAGCTGCTGGTTCACCTACCTGTCTTGTGCATGTCCCATCACATGAACCAAGGCTGGAGTCTGTGACCCGAGTGAATTTCATATGGCTCCCCCAATACGAGCGCAGAAGATTTCCTGCTCTAGCAGACAAACTCAGCTCATTAGCTTGCCCCACTGAGGATGCAGAGAGAGAACAATAGTTACCTGTTTCTGGCACAGACTGTAAAAGAGGACCTCCTTCTGCAGCCCAAAGCCCACATAGACCACAGTCCCTTTGTCCCAAGGGCAGAATGCTGCCAGGCTAGGAGGAAGGCTGCCAGGAACCTAGGAGAGGAAATAAGAGCAGAGTTAGAAAGTTAACTTCTCAGCAGCTACTTCAGCAAGGCCAGAAATATGAGGAAAGGGAAAGGAGAGCACTTAGAGCCATCAATCTCTCCTCCCTTGGGCTGCTGACAGAGCACATGGGCTGCTGCACCTTGGAATTTATATGACAGAAGTATGTTCCCAGGTTCTTATGCCACGATCCTGTACCTATACTCACTGACAGCACCTGAATGTTACGTTGCCCCAAGAACATATCACAATGCTCTTTGCTGTAGATTGTGGTGGAATGAAAGGAAGATCCAAGGAACTAAACCTCACCTACACATCATCTACACTTTCAGGCTAAAGTGTGGGAGTGGTTGAGGATAACAGAAGAGCCTGCTAATTTCTCAGGGAGTGAAAATAGTTTCTAAAAGTTCCAAGACCTCAGTTCTGGGTGTCAGTCCAGGTGAACACAATGGCAAGCTAATTTCCTGCACAGTGAGTGGGATTTCCTTAATTATTTTTAAAAAGCATTTGAGGATGAGGAAAAAAACTTGGAAAGGTGCCTCTAGGCTTGGAGAGGTGCTTAAGCTCGAAGGATGACAGCTCCCTAAGCAATCACTTCACATCAGAAGACACTCAACTACCTTTTACAGACTGCCACCTACAAATTGGAACAGCCTC